TAATAACAATACAGCACAGTGCAATATATTACATAACAATGTAATACATTACATAACAATACAGTGTAATACATTAATAACAATACAGCACAGTGCAATATATTACATAACACACACACAAACACTGATTTGCCACCCTCTTGGCTTGTCATTTTCCTCAACACACTGGTCGCGCGGGTGAACGCGGTGCTTTTCAGCGCTCCCGGTTTGTTACAGGTTTGGCCTCATGGCTTAGTAGTGTCGGTTTTCAGCTTTAAATCATATTTTTTATGTCCTGGGTACGACGTTAAAATTGCATCCGGTTGCGGAGTTTTTGTACTCGGGAGAATGAGGTTACCCTTTGCCGCAACTACCTCCAGGTCACCCTTGGGCAAGGTGTAGCACCTGTGAGCCTTGGGTGCCAACTTCCCACATAACAAGTTCGGTTGACGTCAGTAAGGGCATACGGTCGTAAAACTCCTGCACAAATAGATCCGCACAGGTGGACAATTTTTCATGTAAATATGTAGATATTAGTTTCAGTTGTACTTAGCATTTGGCAGGGGGGATCGTAACCTCTTGTGGTGAGAACCAGTGTGACTGGCCTGCCAACGGGGTGCTAAGGATTTCATTGGAAAAGTTATCAGTTACATCCGTTAATGTAATTTCGTTTTACATACCCGTAAATCAAAAATCACATTACATAACAATACAGTGTCATACATTAATAACAATACAGTACAGTGCAATATATTACATAACAATGTAATACATTACATAACAATACAATGTACATGTATTGCTATTACATAACAATGCAATGTAATACAGTGAACAACACTAAATCACATAGGATATTATAGAGTAGGAATAGAATAGCATAATATATTCATCCAAAGTTTGATATTAAGTGGTACTTTTTGTTTCACCCTAGAACTGGCTGGTAATAAAGTGAGGGCGAATTCTGTAAAGTGAGTAATTTATCAAATATTGTATTATTGACAGCTACAGTTGCCAATTTGTATCATACAATTCCTTTGCCACATAAGTTACAAAGTAGCAAAGTTACATGTATTTAAAGTATTGTTATCATGTACCACAAAGAAATTCAGTCTGGAATTGTGAATACACTTACCGTTTTCCTAGACATTTATTCCAATGTTAATATTTATTTCTTAATTCAGCCCTGGTACAACTTTAACTGGTTTACATCAAAGAGTCCTTGGTTTAAGTGATGCTGAATACGACCAGGTTAGTACTGTCCTATTTGTAATATTATACATATGAATATTATTTGTTAACATAGAAATGATCTCATATTATCATATACTTTATCATGGGCTGATGTCACACTTTTCTACTTCACCATGTGGCATTAACATGCTGAGGAAAGCATGATGAAACTCACTTGTGTAACATGATTGACATTTTTATTTTATCGTATGAACACATAGATTAATTTACATTGTTCAGGAATGTATTGATCTAAAGTGATTATGATTTCTGTGAAAATAACATCACTAATATTTTGTTGTTGTTTATTGGTTAGGAATACACTAACAATAATTTCATATTCAAACCAGAATATTAGAATTTTCATATGTGTTAATTATGTTAATCAGACAAAATTGAAATATTTATTCTTTCTCACTTTCAATACAAATTCAAAATTTGAGTTAAGTCCATCTCTTTTTTTTTATAGCTTATTGAACAACGACAAGAACTGTATCCTCTTGGTCGCGTTGGTTACGCTGAAGAAGTTGCTAATACTATCGCATTTCTTGCATCTGATGCTGCATCCTTCATTACTGGGGCGACACTTCCTGTAGATGGAGGGAGACAGTTGGCTTGTCCAAGATGATATGAAATGCCACTCACACTGTGGATGTATGACTAGTTCAGGCTCTACTAAACTTCCTGAGATATTTTCTAGACTTCTAGATCGCATTTTATACCTGGTGTGGATGGAGTATGTTAGGGTGTAGAAGTAATAATGTAGTTTATTGCATACCAAGTATAAATTATGTTAATTCTCCACAAATCAGTGGATCATAGCTTCCATGACTTAGTGAGGTACTGGTACTATACATAGTGGATTGACTGGAGTTCAGTAGTTCACACACATCAACCAACATTGTTCACATTCCTGGTTCTTTTGCTAACTTTTATATTTGATACCAACTATGGAATTTTTATTTTCTGATGAAGTAGATACAAATATATTTTTAGTATACCTAATTAAATATGCTATTGGTAAAAGTTAATAAAAGGTATGTTTGTACAAGAGAAGCCATAGTAGTTTTTGATAATTGTTTTTTTTTTAATTTAATATTAAAAAAAATATAATTTCAAGTTTTTTCATCAAAGGCATTGACATGTTCATTCCCAATGTTATTACATATTTATGTATTATAAATTAGATGTGTTATTTAAAACATTAAGATTAAATAGTAAATAGTACCAACATGCTGTCTTCTTGACAGAACATGACGGTTGGTATTACGTCAAATATTATTCAAATTGTTCGCATACAGTGAAAATTGTAATGCATTCAATGCAAATAATGCATAGAATTTGTTTTACTTTACACTGGTATGTTTGTACAAGAGAAGCTATAGTAGTTTTTGATAATTGTTTTTTTTTTTAATTTAATATTAAAAAAAATATAATTTCAAGTTTTTTCATCAAAGGCATTGACATGTTCATTCCCAATGTTATTACATCATATTTATGTATTATAAATTAGATGTGTTATTTAAAACATTAAGATTAAATAGTAAATAGTACCAGCATGCTGTCTTCTTGACAGAACATGAATATGAATATGTGATACATATGAATACAAGTGTGTGTTTTACAACCCATATGAATACAAGTGTGTGATTTACAATCTATGAATACGTGTGTGATTTACAATCTATGAATACAAGTGTGTGGTTTACAACCCATATGAATACGAGTGTGTGGTTTACAATCTATATAAATACAAGTGTGTGGTTTACAATCTATGAATACAAGTGTGTGTTTTACAATCTAAATGAATGCAAGTGTGTGGTTTACAACCCATATGAATACAAGTGTGTAGTTTACAATCCATATGAATACAAGTGTGTGTTTACAATCTATGAATACAAGTGTGGTTTATAACCCATATGAATGTAAGTATGTGGTTTACAATCTATATGAATACAAGTGTGGTTTACAATATATATGAATACAAGTGATTGGTTCACAATCTATGAATACAAGTGTGTGTTTTACAATA